GATAGCTGGGCTGGGCTCTCAGCTCTGACGCCTCTGCCCCAGCCTCCCCAGCCACCCACCAGCTCCGCTCGCAGGCACCGAAGCCGTTCACATGGCAGGGAGATTAAAGTGTGCATCGACCAGCAGCCCTGTGGCATGGCACGGCACGGCGTGCCATGCCATCGGCACTTGAGGGCTCAGGCAGGGACAAAGCAGCAGCAAGCAGACATGGGGGAACCCCGTGCTCAAGTTACCAGCAACTGAAAACGCAGACGGCGCCAAAGGTATTGCTTCCACCTCCCCAAACCGGGGAGCATTGGTCGAGGGAAGCAATGAGACACTGCTTGGTGTGGATCGAAGGGAGCTGGGACACAGTCAGCCCTGCAGAGAGCCCTGAGCCCCCACCGAGGGATTTGAGCCTGTCACTGAACCGCCAGCGCCAGGCCGGGTCTCCCTGCCAAGGTGGTAATGCCTTGGGGTGCACAGCCGGAGCCAGCAAACCCAGCGCAGTTCCAGGGCACCCCGCAGAGTGACCCTGGGAGCTGACACGTGGCTTTTGCAGTTCCCTGGAGTCAACATCCGGACAGGATCAGCGCTCCCAGCTTCACATGCTCGAAGCCTGACTCTTCGGCACCCTTGCGAGAGCCCTAAAAATATCCCTCCACATGCCACAGCCTCCTGGCTGCCTCCATGGCCGCTGGGCTTCAGCTGTGGGTGCTGCCATAGCATGCCGGGACTCACACCGCCATGCTGGCAATCACACCGCTGTGCCCTTCCACTGCCTCACCAGGCTCCAGTCCCGCAAACCAGCAGGATACCAGTCAGCAACTCCAACGGTCGTGCCCAGGAGACAGTCCTTTCCGTCCCGAGCTGCTACCCTAACCTGGAACGTCACGAGCCAGCAGGACACAGGCCACGCTCCATGCAGTAGCCAGCTCCGGCCCCTCGCTGCCGCCCGAGATCCGTCATCCATCCACGCCAGCACTCGGTGCCCTTCCACAGCACCTGCAGGACCGAGCCATGTGCCGTGGCATCACCAACCCAGCTGCTTTACGGCTGGAAGCCCAGCGCTCACAGCAGCTCTGTCCCTGAATGATCTGTCATTAAAATATTTACATAGCTATATAAACACCCGCATAGCCAGGCTCTGCGGGCACTCGGCACCCTGGCCGTGTTTGGGCTACATAAAGCAGAGGAGCAACAGGGCCAGAAAGAAGCGTGGGGCGCTTTTGACCCACCAAGAGCCCCTCACCTCGGTTTCCAAGGCCCCTGGCACAGAGATGCCCACAGGACGCCGTGGCACAGCCTCATGCCTGCATTTACACCGGGTCCCTCCCGTGCACGTGTTGTGCCAGGCTCAGCTGGGCCTCTTCTATTTAAGGAAAGTTTTCTCATCGGACCTGGATGGAGCTAACCTCATTTGTTCGCTGTGGAGGAGGCCTCCTTCCTCCTGAGACGGTGTTAGGGGGTTTAAACCCCCAGTTAAACCTCCCACGACAAGCAGGTTTCTACCTCGAATGTCCGTCACGGCGGAGAGGCCAGCCGTGCGCCTCTGGTTTGCCGAGACATGAGCAGAAACCTGCCAGTGGGCTGTGTTTGGAAGGGCCTTGGTTAATTACCAACCTACCCAGGAGCCCAGCAGGTCCTAGTGACAATGCTAATTAAGCAGCTTCCTGTTTGCAATTACACAGAGGTCCGGAATCCCCATCTCAGAGCATCCTAGGCACAGCAGCGTCTCTTTTGGGGATGCAGCACCCACCTCCCCACTGCTTTTCCCAGTCATCCCATGGCACAGCCACAGGGGACGGCATGAACCAGCTCCCAGTGCGGGAAAGGCCTAATTAACTGCGGCTAACGAGTACTGGCTGCCTCAGCACACAGCGCTGCCCCTTCCCCATCCAATGCCCATGAGGATAGAGGCTCCTGG